GAATTAAGTGATCTTGAAACGTGTTTCAGCGGGCCGAGCAGCTGCATCAGAAAGAGCATGAGCAACGTGGGCTTCGGGGGCTTCTCCAACTCATTCAAGCCATCCCTTTCAAGGATCTCCTTGGTGCAATGCAAGCTGTAAAAAGGCAGCATCAAGGGCTTGAAGATGCCAAGAGTGAGGACGTTTTGAAACAGTTGGCAGGATTACAGAAATGCAACGAGACGGGCCAGACAATGCTCATGCCGTTCAAGTTCCGGCAAGCTTCAGCAGCCTTCTTCCCTGTAAGACCTTTCTTAATGTTGGTCTTGTACTTCTTCGCCAGTGCCTCAATGTCCAGCTCCTTAGGAGTCGCGGCTGCAGCGTGAAGCGGTTCTGCACGGAAAGCTCAGAAGCATTGGCTTGGCATGCTTGGCATCTCGGGCTCCAGCAGCGTCCTCTTTCTGTTTGTCCTCCTTGTCGGATGCCTTCGGCTTGGCCGACTGGGGCTTCTTGAGGTTCTTCTGAGACCTTTCATGTCAAACTGCTCAACAACTCTCACGGACGTCCGATGATTCAGGATCTGCTTAGCTGCCACCGAAGTGCATGGTTGCACTGCGCGGGGCTGCTCAGGACTCTTGACAGCGCAAATGCTGCGGCCACGCAACAACCCTAGCTTGTGGATGCGTCAGCAACAACCCTTGGGTTTGATAGCGCCCGCTATGCGCTTGCTGACAAAAACTCCTTCCCAACCTTCCCTTTGATTCGAAGTTGAAGCTTAGCCAGCCAACTGGCACCTTGACGGAGAAACGATAGTCTTGGCAGATGGTAGAATCCTAAATTCAGGAACAAAGCTGAACATCCTGATCCTGAAGAAGAGAAACCGAAGAAATTCAGCCTCACTTCTGGCGGCCCCCGCGCGTCGGGTCCACAGCGAGGCCACGGTCGTACGCAGCCAAAGCGTCGGTGTACTGAAAGAACGGGCTGCAGGCTAGATGAGTTCTTAATTTCAGGCTAGATGAGTTCTTAATTTCATGGAAGCATGGATTCACGCACACACTCATTCGCAGCTGCCCGAATATGTACAGCTATGTGCCCGCACAAGCTTAGCTCTCGGCGAAAGAGATACGGAGAGGGAGGTTCATTTATCATGCGATACTCTTTCCTGAACTGCTGTTCTACCTTGTTCCATCTATATTTCAACTATATTTGCATTCGTTTGCTTTGCACTGAGCGTGTCTGAAAAGACTGGGGACTGACCATAATCCCATGTTTGTTCCTCGCCTCGGCCGCCATGGCATGCAGCTGCCCCTTGCGAGCCCAGGCCTCACAACATGCTCATTTTTTGCACCTGCACTCCTGCAGGCTTGACAGCGGGCTGAGCGGACATGAGTAGCTTTGTCTTCTGAGAGCCACACACTCGAGACAAACATCTGAAGAGTTGAAATCCCTATGTTCTACTCCTGGAATCGTGCGCAAAACCTTTCGTCTGCAAACCCCTTCACGCCAATCTCTGCATTCTTTCTTTCGACGATGCCAGCACAGTCACGCGTAATGAGCGCACACTCTTACCAAATATAATCTCTCTGAATCACGCTAAGTCATCGAGAGCTCCGAATGGCGTCGAAGCTTACAAAAATCGCTGGGGATACGGAACAATACGTAGGGCAACGTAGGGTACAGGATCCATTGCAGGCACTTGGAAGGAGCCAACGACACTGCAGCTCTCCGGTCCGGGTGGGAAGTCATAGACAATAAGTTCATTGCGTGACCATGCAAAGCTACAAAGGTCACTAAAGCTCACCCACACCGACTCGCGAGATGTCTTGGAATGTCTTGCTATCTTTGCAGTCTTGTTGAGAGCTTCAATCTTCAGCCTAAGTGAGGTAGATCTCAAATACAGATGCCTGGCCTACAGCGGTGGCCTCCTTTTCCCAGAAGATCCACTTTAAGGATTACGGCTACAGTTGCTTGGGTGCTGTTGCCCTTCAGCACTTGGTCTTTGCAGGACCTCTGTGCCAAGCCTCTATAACCCCTATATAACCTCAGTTTCCATGTAATTTTCCCTGCTCTTTTCCATTCGATTCTCCATTATCCCAATATTAACCTAGATTATTGTATATTATAGTCGATTATAGTATATTACAGTATATACTAAAATAAAAACAAAATATTTTGCAACCGGCTAGGGATGAATGCCGCCCGGAAGTAGCCCGACTGGCCGATGCTTAAAGCAGTCCCTCCCCTAAACCCTAAAACCCTACAACCGAAAAGGGCCCATGATTTTGAGAACAACCCATCTCTCCCGTGCCTTACTAGAACATATACCATATTATACTATAATATAAACTAGAATATATACTACAATATACTATAATATAATATAGTAGAATTAAAATGTAATGCAAAATCTCCTATATCGTAATATATGCATCTGTTCCCCTGCCTTGGTATATGTTGAGTCCAACTTCAAGCTCTCGGTGAGGTCGTTCATGGAGTTCGTAAAGTAAGGATTTGTGCCTGCATCGTAACAGTAAAAGTAGAAAGAGTAGTAATAGCAATAGGAAAAGATAATAGGAATAGGAACAGCCACTGCCCTTGATACTCCTCTCCTGTTCTGACATTACCTGTTCGAGGCTCTCAGAATCCTTGAGGAGTGGCTCTGGGATCCTGGCGCATGGCTGCTGGTGAAAGCCCCTGGCCAAACTCAGAGAGCATAGCCATCTGGGCCTTGGACAAAGATTTCCTGTTCCCGAGATCACCACGCTGTTTGGGTTGGATTGGGCACCATGCAACTCCAGAGTGGAGAACAAGGTGCTTTCTATACATGGCTGACTCTGGGCATCCACACAGCAGCACGATTGGCCCAACCTCAGTAAGAGAAACCCTTCCAGCGTACCGCAGCATTCCATGGAACAACACTCCCGAGCAACTTGCATCGCGCATCCTTCGGGTCAGCTCGAATCGCCTGGGCATCTGCTGAGAGATGACAGCTGAATGATAACCGAAGGGAAAACCCGCCCGAGACCTCGTCGTATACGCGAACTGCCTTTGAATGGTTGCCTTCTCCTGGCTGGCCAGATGCTGGCTGGCAATAGCGCGCAATCGAGGATTTTCCGGGGGCCAAAAACATTTCACTGCAGAAACTCATCTTCAGCCAAGGAGCGGAACAGAGCATTGCCCTTTTCGCGCAACTCCTGCGGAGCGCGGTTCGACACAGCTACTTTCTTCAATTGAATCAGATGCCTAACTTGCTTCGAACAGTATGTGCACATGATGCATTGCAAGGAGCTGCAAAAAAAACAGGTGTGGCACTTCGGCTGACTTCCCGGCAGCCGGCTTTGTGCCTGGCACCATTTGACTGCAGGGACAGCTGGGCTAGAGATGCCCTCGCCTTCGGCTTTCGAGTCCGTGCTGGCCTTTGCGCGGGCCTGCGAGAAGGCCCCCGCCTAGGCGGTGCTTCATGTAGGAGGCGTAGAAACAAGAAATCCTGCTCCTCATTAGTTGACAGCACCACCACTTCTCTGGTTTTGCTGACAGCTCCCTACTCGGTGATCTTATTGATCTCCAGCTGCGGTGAGACACCAAGTCCCAATGATGCGAAACATTCGAATATCTCCGCATTGGGCACACCATTTCACAACAGCCTCAATCCAGGTACGATCCCGCTTCCAGCTAGGGAGGAGGATCCTTAGACATGTCCACCAAGACTGGCTCACTCCACTCCGCCATACCCAGGTGGTTGATTGCTGCAACCTGCGCAGCTGAGCATGGTTTGTTCCTGGACACGAGCTGAAGCACGGCATCAGGCTGGCCTGGAAATAGTAAGTCAGCTTACGCAAATGCCGGATGTCACAAGTGTCGCAGCCCTTGTCCCGGACCTTGAAAGCTTAGACCAAAAGAGTCAGCGGTCTCAGGAGGCTTCAAACACTTGCTTCATCTTCTTGACTTAGGAAAGCCCAGTGGCCACGGCCGGAACAGCCTCCACGGGCTCTGCCATGTCCTGCCCATGATTTGACTTCGTGGCCTCTAAGATACTTCAGCAACAGAAGGATACACACACCACATCCAGAGCTGTACTCGGGCTGTTTGACCACGAGCCTGTGACTTGCAGTTAACCCTTACAGATCCTCGGTATGGGCGTAGCGGAGCCGATAGCCTGTGATGGGGTATCCGTTTTCTTCGACAGGTTGCCACCTTAGCCACGGTTGTGCTGCGCCAGCGTGCTGGCACACGCCCAAACATGCTTGGTACCTGGCCGAGGTGCTTCAAACGAATAAAGGATTTGTATATCTCTGAGGCTGCCAGGTCTTCAATGGCCGAGGGTGTAGCCCCATCCATCGTTCGGATCGGGATGCTGCTGTCACTCCAAATCCCCATGCCATACTTGTTCCTTCAGATGACGTGTCAGCATGCGGTGGGGCAGAATTGGCTATGCAGACTGATGAGCAGACTTCACAAGACGGAAGAGGACTCTCAAGCAGAGGTCAGCCAAGGCGCACAGCCCTGACTTGGAAGATGTAGACATGGCCTGGCTTTAGGCCCTGAATAACATACTGAGATAGCGTAGGAGGCACATCGTGGATATCCACGATGTCGTTGCTCCAGTCGGCCGACCTCGGTTCAGCAAACGAAGCAAGACCTCCTGGCTTGCGCACTGATCACACTAATACCCAGGCCGAGCCACGATGTGTGGCGGAAGCAAAAGGACAACACAGGCGCCTCCGAGAAGGGAGGGTGTTGCCACTGGATTACCTGGGTGCATCCGTGCACGAGGCTTGAAGCGCAAAGGCTTTGCACCGGCTCAGCAGCTCAGCAGCCCCAAAGTCAGAAAACCAAACGTTTCTGCTTTCGCCAGGCCACTGCTGAGTGGTGCGTTGCCCTACGCAGCGTCGGCTGACTGAGCGTAATAGGCACAGGCGGCACCGTCTGCACCGGCACTGTAGGGTCTGAGAGCTCACCCCAGCCTGCAATTCGATACAAAGTCGCTTTCATCAATCGAAGGAAGGGCCTCTGATCTCAACACGTTGATAAACAGAACCTAGGTCCTAGGTGGCGATAGAGAAGGTCCCCGACCTGCTGCGTTCTCAGCTGCAATCTGGAATGTATAGTCTGTCAAGCTGTCCAACCCAGTGACGACATAGGAGTCTATTTCATCCTCAAGGATGATCCTTAGCTCTACGAGGTGGCTGGCTATCCGGAATCATTGCAAGCTCCACTTCTGTCCAGCGTCTCTCGGCTGCAGGCTGCTGGATCCTCACCCTGACGCGGTACCCAGGTAACGAGGATCTTGTAGTGCTGAATTTTCAAACCCGGTGCCACCTGCAGCTGCCAGCATTGAAGTACTGCATAGAGCAAATCAGCATCCCACACCCATGGCCTAGTCACTCACAGCATTTGGCAATCCTGGAAACTGGACTGTCTAAGCAAAGTAGCAGTGGCAGTGTCCAGGGGTGGCGTCCAGCGCACTTTCACCTCAGAAGTTTGAGATCTCCAACAGCCTCGAGACTCAAAGCTGGTTGCGCATGCCCGTCGCGTGATCACCATCCGTGTTTCAGAGTAGTCTGGGGAAGGATGTCCCAGCCTTAGGGCTTCGTTGAAGAGCATGATTGTCCTAGATGGTGTTTTGCATTTTTCTTCTGCCAGCTCTCTCCTAAGAAGCCTGCCAAAAAATTGACAGGTCCGTTGAGGAGGATTTGCTTAGCAGGCCTGGTTTGCGCTTGCCCCATGACGCCTCCTAAAAGTACTACGGCTACTACGGTGTGAAGGCGGATCAGCCAAGCCAGCAAACGTTACCCATGGGAGACTGAGGCGCTGAAGACAGGTCAAGCACCCGTGGCAGGAGAGCAGACAGCTTTCCAGGTGGATGTGGTGGAGGAGCCTCGCTTCAAACGACAGATGGGACATCAAAACTCAGATGAACCCGCGCATGCCATGCCTCACACTGCGCTGGCACGCTCCAGTCCGACCAGCCCTGGCGGCTGCCACATGCTATCTGTGGAAGGCGACAATTGGAAGACTTGGACTGGGCCTCCGGTGTTTGGATTGCCACCATGAAATCATGCACCAGGCCTCAGCATCTTCAGGCTCAAAACCCATGAAGCACCATGCCTACCTAGCAGCCAAGGTTCCAAAGTCCAAATTTGACAGGGGCAGTTCGCGGGTGAAGTTGCGCAGCTCCAGCTCCACCCATGAAGCACCCTCCTCAAACTCACCTTGCTTCTCACGGGTCCAAGCATGCGAGTTTCACAGGCAAGGTTGCAGTCTATGACTTCCTCTCCTGAGTATGAGAGTCGCATCAAGCAAGTTTGCATGCATCAAGCGAATGAAGCAGATGACGAGTGAATGGCCAACTCCAGACCCTGTGAATTCCTACTTAGGCATGCAGCCCAGTGCAGGCCCTCCTAACGAGGAAAAAACCTGCTGACGTGCGTCCCCGATTTTGAGAAACAAATCCGGGTACTGCATGTGCGGATCTTCTTACTTAGGAAAGCAAAACCAAGTTTTTCTGTCACACTGAGAATTTCTCAGGTTGAGGCTCTGTGATCAACAAACTTCAACAGCAGCCATCAATCTTGCAAATGCAAAGCCAAGCTGCTGCCCACATCTGTTTTAACATGCGGTCTATATCTCAACCTCCATCTGGAGACCTGCCAGCTCTGCACTCGCACGTGATTGTGCACACTAGGGGGTTGAGGGGGCAAAGTGTCTACAGCGCGGTGCGTTGTTAGAAGAAGAAATGAAAGTGCAGTTGCTTCAAATCAGCCTGGTTGTCAGATAATGACAGAACCCACGCCGTGACTGTGCTCATATATTATGCAATGATGCTGTCAGCGAGGAATGGCCAGTAGCTAGCCATGCACTGTGCCATTGGCACAAGCAAAGGCCAGAGCACGCTTTGAAAACCACAGCCCGCCTCGTCTTCCTCCGCCCAACGGGGCAGGACCTTGCTACACCAACACCGCCGGACTGCGGGTGACAGCCATCCAAAGCAAACATTTGCAGACCAGGACACCTTCACTCCACCAGGCGGTACAGGCAGAACGATAGGCACTGCTGCCTTTGGCAGCACCACGGGCACCATGTCCAGCTCCATCTTGGCCTCCAAGTCACCAAGCTCTGACCTGTGTTCCCTTTAGGCTTGCACCCAGGCCTTCCTCTGCTTGGCAGACGCCACCAGCTGGGATGGTTCGAGCAGGTGTCAAATGATATGGGCTATTTTGGCGAATGACTTTGCCTGGGCCTAATTGCTAGATGTTGGCACCCTAACAGGACTGCCGTGTGCCTTTGTGTACTACGCGCTGACCAAAAGCTGTTATTCTGCTTGTCTTCTCTTGGCATCTGAACCATGTGAAGCTGGTGCCAACTCAGCTGCATGGTCAGCCACAAACGACATGCCTTGCCAAAACATGGTCGCTCTACCTCTGGATGTTCCTGGCAAACTATTTATTTTTAGGAACTCAACAACTACAACTTACTGTTCCAATGCCACTTGGTCAAAACCCTGCACTCCTGGACCCGCCTTCAGGTAGGGACCTATAATTAGGGTTCAAGGATGCCCCAAGATCTCTCCAAGCATGTCCAATGACGATACCAGGATATGCCAAAATCGTGCTGCAATCTCACACAACACAATGCCAGATTATGCCTGTCAGGGCTCCGCATTGGAACCACAGTGCGATGACAGCCAGCAATCTAAGTTCAAAGGCTCGTGGGGCTTTGGCTGGCGCCGGGGCGTCCTCATCAAGGGCGGCTCTCATCTTCCGATGCAGGCCCCTTACTATGACTATTAGTAATGCGATTATTAGTGCAATTATATTACTCGTGTTCACTATTACTATTATTACTATTGGCAGGGGCTCCTCTGCCGCCTGCTCAGGCTCCTCTTTTGCTTTGTCCGTCTCCTTGGGCCGGTCTCTGGGCTCCACCTGCGAGCAAAACCTTTCAAGAAACAAAGCCTTTTTGCAAACGTCACCTTTGGCTCGGGGTGCTCCGGGACCCAGAAATCATCACCTGCAAGAGGCATCTAGGTGCTTGAACGCTCCTGCCAACTATTACCTTGTCGATGCACGAAACTGTCAGAGCTCCTGACCCTGTTCGGTGTAAAGCTTCATTTTAGCAATAGCCTCCGCCAGAATGGAGTCCTCGAATTCTTGCTATCTGCTAGCTGACCACATGTGCCCTGATGTGCACAGCTGTGCGTTCAAACTGTCGCCGGCGTCCTCGCCGTCAAGCTTCAGGCCTTCCTCCATTGTGGCCATGGCCTAGATTCGGGGCTCGGGACAATGCACGTGAGACCGCGCTTTGGGGAAAGATATGATTGAATGCGCCTCGTTGTAGCGTCCCAAATGGAACAACGCCTCATGTTTGTTGCTTGCAGCCCGCGGCATGCTTGCATGTAACGCTGACTGTCACATGACGAAAATCACTGGAGCCCAACAACAACAGTCTGAGAAGTGGACATGTCCCCGGCGGTGGTACCTGCCCAGCAGGAAGGCTTCACGCGTGGATGCCCGCCTCAATGCCACTGCTTCTTCTTCTTCTTCTTTTTCTTCTTCTTCTTCCTGTGCTTCTTCTCCTCTTCCGTTATTCTATTAGTAAGTTCCTCTGTTCAAATGTTCTTTTATTCTTCTGCTCTTCTGTTCTTCTATCTGGCAGCAGTGACGGCGGTGACGATGGCGGTGTCAGCGGCAACAGCGTCGGTGGTGGCTGCCATCGTCTGCTAAGGTTGAGCTTCCTCAAGGAACCTGTCACCTATCACGTTTGCCATGACATCTCACAAAGCTTGCCGGCGCACAGGCGAGGCCAGCCAGGGGCGAGCTTCAGGGCTTTGTCTGCATCGAGGAGCGCCTTTACTCGATGTTTGCATTGATCAAAAACACTGTCTCAGGTAGATTTCGCAATTTTTCCGCACCACCAGTCTATGCTTAGCATACGTCAAATCATTTCGCAAGCCTCAGCACACGAGAGAGGCAGGGACCTTGTCAAAGCGTCGCCTGTGTGCATAGGTTGCCGATCGATTGGACAGGATGACCTTATCCAAGCAAAAAACTCAACAAGAGTCAAATGCCGAGGAATAGCTCAACCAGACTTGCAAGAAGCTCCGATGCTCCAAGGGACAGCATCTTGATTCGTTTCCAGAGCCTCGGAGTACCACTCCTCAGCAGCCACAACCATGTCAGACTGCTGGATTGATGGATGATGCCAACTAAACATTCCGGTCTTGAGACTGGCTTCGGTAGCGGCTGCAAAGTCGCGGCTGGCGTAGGCCTCTTGACTTATCATTCACTTCTAGGCCGAACTTGGACGCAAAAATTAGCGAATACTCACCAATATGCTCGTGGCGGGGCTTTTCTCCTCTAAATCCGGCAAAACAAACTTGTCTTTTGCATCTTCCTGCTCGGCAGAAACCTGTGTTGTTTGCCGATCAGGTGCAGAGTTGGCGTTCGAGAGACCTGTCATAAAATCAGTGTTGAACTTGATTGACCTCAGAGAGTTTTGTGGGAGGATTCCCGCGCAACATCCGAGCACGGAGCTTGTGTTCAGGCTTAAAGCACCGGTCTCCAGCACAGCCTAATGGGCCTACTGTTCAATGCGGCGTGACGGATGAGATGGCATAAAGCAAGGTCATGCGCTTGCAGGCCGTGAGCCTAATCTTATGGGCTTCGCAACCGCATGGACCGTGATTTTAGGTGGCAAGGATTAATGAATATCTATGATCTTTTGCCTCAGCCGATGCGGGGCAGTGCAAACTGCCATCTGGAGCCCCGGAAAATAGAAGCTCTTCCGTGCACGCATAGAAGAGTTGGTGCAACTCGTTCCATAGACCGAACCTGTTTCTGGCCAGGCAGGAGCTGCCTAAGGGTGACACCCAACCACACACTCAGGCGTGAGAGCTTCACAAACATCTAGAAAAGTCTAGAACAGCAGTTGCACATCTTCTTTTAATTCATCACGTCATCCTGATTTTGCGGCGGCTGGCGACTGCAACTTGCAGTTGTTTGCCTTAGCGTTGCTGCTTCACGGAGGCCATTAAGGCCTCTTGCAGAGTGGCCTGGCACAGCTTGCACATGCCTCATGGGGGGCCAGCAAAGGTGCGAATGTGATCCTGGCCTTCGCCACCTCAGAGGTCATGGTCTTCGAAGAGCCGCCAGCTTCCAGAGCCATCTGACCCTCCTGAAAGATGTTTGCAATGCCAAGCAAACCACCTTCTTGCAGAATTTCAAGGCCAAGGTCTCCTCTTCGAAGATTTCACCCAGGCGCTGCAGTGCCTGTGAGCGGCGAACCCGCAGCTGCCAGGGCACAGACTTGTCCTGCCAAGCACTGGGCATGCGAAACCGCAATGCAAATGCACTTAAGCAAACCTCTCTTTCTAGCGAACATCGAATCTGACAATGCCCGGCAACTCCAATCGCCTTCAACAGCTTTCTGCCAATTTCTTTGACAGTGGAGTCGATGTCGGTTACGACAGCTGCCTCGGAGACGCAGGAAAACACGGTTGCTCCATCTTGTTTTGGTTCAACGATAGCTTCGCTTGATGCCCCATGCATACCCCCAGCGCGAAGCATCAAGTGTCCGGCAAAGAAAGATCAATGCAACTTGGCGACCCAAGCAGTTTGAAGGAAAAGCGGCAGGGCTTCATCCAAGGCCTTCTCCACCTGAGTGCGGAACATCTTTAAGGCTTGTTGGAAATCGGACTTATAGCCATCATGTCCAAATTGCCAAGGTTCCCTAGCAGCTAGCATATCCTAGTACTTGACTGGGCTTGAGTGACCTGGTACGTCTACTCTCATGTGCCCCATACGCCTTCCTTAGTTACATAAGGGCACATAGCTCACATGCTAGTCTCCTCGTGCGGCTTCGGATAGCTTCAGATTGCCCCAAGTCCCACGCGGCGGCTGCAGACTGCGCGACCTCCTCCGGAGTCGGTTCAGGCGGGCTGGCACCGGCCGCATTGGCCTCTCCGGTGCCTGCACCTTGCCCACCCGGTGTTCCAGGCGCAGCCGCGGCAGTTGCCTCTCACAAGAGCTACGAAACCAACAGCTAGAAACACCAAGCACCCAACCAACCTTGGAGGCATCATGCACGCGTTTGACCTGGAGCAGGCTCGTGGCAGCATTCCTTGGAGATCGTAGCAGCATCAAACACTGCCAGCTCCTATCTACAAGTAGCTGACGACAGCGACAACAGCTGAATTAGCTGCCTTTGAAGGGTCCGGCCACATCAGCAAAACAGTAAAACAAATGCAAAGCACGTGAAGACATGTGAAGACCTCCTGCCGCCAAGGGTACGAGACGAAGCTCATCTTGTGCCGGAAAGTCATATCTGAGACAAAGGCTGGTAGCGTCACTTCTTCACGACTCCAAAAACTTCATGCTTTCAAGGTGCGGGAATGCTTCAAAGCAGCCTCAGCAAGAGGTCAGGCATCGCATCATTCAAGGAAACTGCTGGGAAATATCTGTTCATAAATTGAGTCATGCGTCTGCTTGCTTCGTGAGGGAAAACCGACCGACCAGCTCATCTGCCAAGTAAATCTCTGAGCGCAGCTTGTACATCCTCAGAAAGCAATCGCCGCAGCTGGCGTTGGGAGCACATACGCGACTTTTTCAGCGGCGCCGGTTTCAATCAGGTCAACGCAGGCTCGCTATTTCAGATAGGAACGGTTGTTGTCTCCAGTTCTCACAATGCTCAATGCTAACACAGTAGTTGCTGCGAAGGCTCGCGCCCAATGCTGACAAGAGTTCCGGACCTGATACTGCAGCAATAGGCAGCTTGCTTTTGCCACGTGCATTGCAGGGTGGAAAGCAGACGAAACCTCACAAGCAGCGTTTGCTTCGTGGACGAGCAACCAAATTGGCACTTGGCAAGTTCAGCAGCTTCAAGCCGTGCTTTCCTTGGAAGCTGCAAGTATCTACTTCAATATGTCAGAACGCCTACCTAATCCCATGCATAAAACAGCTCACCAGTCGATTTGCACATCCGTCATAAAAATGCCACGTTGCTGCTCAAACTGAGCAATCTCCCTCCTGCGCACGGCAATGGCTACCCAAAACATGTTCACAGCTGCTCTCCCGCCTGTAGACATAGTCATTCAGGAATTCACGCAAGTAAACGGCACAGTGCACCTTCAGCGTCACGCATGCTACAAGTACCTACATGGCCTATGAAGCATGCTTCCAGAAAATGAACTTCATGCTGACCAGAAACCGTATCTAAGTATAAGGCCAGCCCAAAGCTTCATGCCAGCATGACACCAAACACGCTTTTGATTGAAGAGCAGCAGCAAAGCTTAGTCTTAAACGGCCAACAAGCTGCCATGAAACTTCGGGTCATGGAGAGGGTGTTGCTGAACTGCCCATGTTACCCTGGTATGCCTCGCGGTGCAGCTGGCGGCGCTTCAACACTTGGGAGTTGTCGTGAAACACCTTACCCGACCATGCTCAAAGTCGGCAAGCCAGCGAAACTATGCGCGCCTTCGGACCAGGAAAACTGGCGAAGCCTCAATAAAGACCGAGGGATCGGCTGCATCGTCGCTTGCATCCCCACCCGCGTTCGTCGGATCCAAGAGGCCACCTGCACGCTTCGAATCAAAGTCTGACCAGCTGCTGCGTTAAAGCCACTATTGATGCTCTAGCCGGCACCCCAAACGGACCATTCACTGCCTTCCTTTTCCATTGCTTTGGCAAACTGGTCCGTCTGCATGGCCAAGTGCCTTCAAGAGGACCAGGCCAAGCCACCGCACACGCTTTTCACTGATTCAACTAAGAGACATATACAACCCCTATATAGAACCACTACATACTAAAATATGTTCCATTTAATTTTCCATTGTCCATGCTAGGATCGCTGGGATCGCGGCAGCTCGCCGATCCAGGGCTCGAAGCGCTCAGATCCAAAGAGCAAACTGAAGAACGTAGAGGGATCCATCTTGACCTTGCTCCAAAGAGCGGAGCGGATTCTGTGCTGCAAGTAACAGAGCTTCCAGCAATGAGAGGCTTGCTCTGTCGGAAGTTGGGTCCCGGACGTTACCCTCCTGGATGCCAGCCTTGCCCTCTTTGTCGTACTTCTTCCTGCGCCAGCTCCCAACATCTCCCAGCTCCAGTCGGCACAAAACAACAGGTTACCTCGAAGATCTGAAATTATTGGGTGACTGCGGCGCATCAACCTCAAATCCCCGAGGGTCCTCGAATCAGGATCGGACAACACCTGTGGGGGGAGACAGAAAAACTTCTGGGTGGCCCTGGAGCCTTCTGGCGTCGCTATGGTGTTGAATGACCCTCTGCTCCAAAGCTAGCAAGTGCCAACAAGGGGATTGCTAACCCCGGACCTGGTAGGCATCTGCCAGCTTCTGGAACTTGGTGTTTGCCTAGATGCACAACGACGGTCAAAATGGTTGATGGTAGGCACGTAAGGACTGCTATTGATCGAGCCATTAGAACTGCTTATGACCATGCAAGGCATGTCTCTATTAGACGGCATTTCATGTGTGTGCTAATCTGGGTTTGGATTCAGGATCTCACCCTCCATGTCAGATTTGAGACGAAAATCTCAGGAATTCGGGCCTCCGCATCTCCGGGGTTCTTGTCTGGGTGGCAAGCTCTTGCCTCCTCAATGAAAAGCTCAGGGAATCAAAGAATTGGAGGAGTCGTAGCCAACTTAAGACAAAGAAAGCAAGTGTTTCTGCACTGCGTGACATGCCGTCAGCAAGGTCCAGCGAGGTTCAATTGTTACAGAACAGCTACAAGATGCTACAAGTAATGTGTGAGTCTTGGGCCTTGTAGTATGCCTTCTTGATCTCCGCAGCGGTCGCTGAAGGCTTGACTCGCAGGAGATCGTAGTACCTAAAACAACCATACGTGCTCAACCATACATGCAGTGGTTTGCAGGGCTGATGCTATCTTCGTTCCCCGCAGCTGGTTTTTTGCCAAAACCCCTCACCTTCAGTCAGAGCGGCTCTGTCTCCTTGACAGGGGCAGAAGGAGAATGGCTACCATTTGCTCCGCCATCTTCATCATCTGATCCTTCCGCAAGGACCTGCTGGGCAGAGCCCACACGCAGGGAGCCATCGACATCTCAGAAGACATATGCGTCGAATTTCTCTACTCGCAGGCCGCCTTGCCTGCTCCTCCAGCTTGACAAGATCAATGTCAACCTTGGGATGTGCGCAAATGACATCACCACTTTTTTCTTGAGAACTTGGCTGATCATGCGTTGTCCTTTGCATCTGTCTACTGGGTGTGTAGCTTGTTTAAGCTGATTCTCAGAAGGTACTCTGAAGCATGCCCAGGCTAGTTTATTCATAACAGACATTCGGAACTTGCACCTGACCCAGGACCTAGAACAAGCAAGAGGATACTCTCCACAGCTGTGCCAATCCATGAACCCAATGCGGCAGAAGAGCCCACTGACCAAGCTCATCGTCCCAAACGCGCTGCTCACGTCGTCCACGCATGGCCTAGAGAATGCCATACAAAGTTTGGCCGAAAGCATCAAGCATTCTGGAACTTGCCTCAGGCGTGTTAGCAATGCCACGGCCGATCTGCGCCACTCCACCTTGCAACGAAGCTACACAAGCCCTGCTTTGAAGAATGCCCTGCTAGCTTAAGTGAACGCCAGGGACGTGCACAGGTCACGAAGTTCTTCCGTGCATGCAAGCCACAAGCAGTTCCAGCGACGGCGACTGCCGCGCCTCGTCAAGGTCAGGACAGCTTGACCAGGCTCAACGATGCCTGCGACCAGCCTGAGAGGAGGCCCGTGCCCAAGCCCTTGACCATGCCAAGGCCACCTGCCACAACCAGCCAGGGAAATACGCATAGATCAGCTTGTGCTTACCACTCTCCACCCCTGCCTCCTGACTGGTAGCCGGAGTAGCCGCCGACCACCACGCTTCCAAGGCCAGCCATCACACTGCCAGTTGCCATGGACACACCTCTCCTTGAACATGCAAGAAAAAACATCCGCACAAATTCATACATAAGTAATGGAATGGAGTTCCACTAGATCCAGATCGAGAACGTTCCCAAATTAACCCGGTGTCGAACGCTGCGTCAGTGATCACACTATTGACCCCGGCCTACAGTCCACATGCTTCCAGACTTGCAAGACCCAGCAATGGTGGCTAGCCACCATTGCCAAGACAATGTTTAGGAAGGAGGTGTCTTCAGCCAAGGTTCCACAGACCGTCTGCGGCGTCCTGGCGAAGCTCTCATACGCTTGTTTTCAAAGCAGGTTTTTTCTATAGTACCTTCAGGACAGGCTAGGCCGGTGCTTCCAGCTTTCCCTCCTCCTGGCACTGGGCTGTTCTCAGCGCATGGTTGTCAACCAAAAAAGTGACAACCTCATGGTGAGCTCTCTTAATGGCAATCTCCAATGAAGATTGGCCGTAGCTGTCCATCTTCTCAACATCAGCTTGGACCTCGATCGGAAAGCGAGCAGCCGTTTCGTGGCCTTCGCAACAGGCAACAAAAAGAGGAGCTTGACCATCGGCTGGCTTGTTTGGATCTGCACGAGCTCCAACAAAAAAAACAAACCAGCTCAAAGCTTCCATTGTCGCAGGCTTTAAACGAAGGAGTTTCTCCGGTTTCTGGGGCCACCATTTCGTATTCCGAAACCTGCGGCCACCAGCACACGAGCTGCTGTCCCGTGAGAATGCCAACATGCAGCGTACAATGGGGTCCATCCATCATGACTCGGCAGATCGACATTTGCCTGCACCGCAACCAGTAACTGTGCCACAGCTGCGTGGCCGCTGGAACAGGCGGTCCACAACGGCGACCGGTCATCGCCATGTGCAAGCAACAAACAAAGCTGATCTCCCCAAACAATCTAGTCAGTTCACGCACGCATGAAACTCCAACAACAAACAAGTCATGTCCAGCTGTCTGTTGGCTGATGCAACGTGTAGGGGTGTCTCGCAAAGGGCCTGCCCAACCCTGTTGCAATCAGCACCCGCCTGGAGTAGCAACCGAGCCACCTCTACTTGTCCCAAAGATGCAGCGAGCAGCAGGGGACGCTCACTTGGAGGGTCCGAGTGCTGACCTTTCTCTACAGTAGCAAGCTTCTCCCAGTCCCCGTCTGCCATGAGCGCACTGCAGCACTCAGACGAGCCGAATCTCGGCAGGTCCACAGGCAAACCCAACGCGACCACGGATTCATGGTCATCAAGCAGACGATCGTTGTAAGCCAGCCGGCCATGCTCGGACGGAATCGCTCCGTGCGGCGAAAATCTCTTTCAATGCTTCAGAACCCAGCCCAGCCAGGAAAGCCCAAAAATGCGTAGCATCAGCCGCAACGCTGCTGAAGGCACTATGGATGCACGTGAGAAAGCTTGCAGTTGACTCTCTGCCCTTTCATGCAGGGGTGACAAGACGGCGCTTACAAACGGTATCGCATGCTTGGACACGGAAGACATACTTAAAAATCATAGCCAGTGCCGAACGAGCGCTCAATGATTGCGAATGCGCCTACATTTCAGCAATCTACTCGCAGGTCCTTCGGCCTGGTCTGGTTCATGAAAGCACCAACCTCAGCATGCGTCAGCAGAAGCTCTATTGTAACCCTGGCACTCCCTGACTCACGGACACTAATGAAGTTAAGCATCTACCTTTGCATTTTCTTCTTCCGTCTGCTGCTGCGGGTCCGGTGCACCTGCGTGATCGTGGCTGTGCCGCATGCATGCATTCTCAACATGTCCGATGCACCTGAAAACCTAAAAACTTACTAAGCCCTGTACCAGCAGGAGCAGCCAAGTCTGTGCAGTCCGATGGCGGTGCAGAAGGCTTTGGCAGCTCCGGCTCCTTCATCGGCCCAAATCGTAAAACTTGGGAACTGAGGTTTGATCTTCACATCTCGGAACCGTTGTAAATCTTTACCTATCTCCGATACATATTGATATATTTCCCGAAAAGATACGCAATACTCGCAGGATCCGAAGCTTTGGGAATCAGGGTGCTCGTTTCGAGCTTGAACTGATAGGCATGAATGCTCTGCACGCCTTCTGTCAACATCGCCGTCGCAGAAGCTGAGCAAAAGCAACAGCATACAAAACCTGCCTGGGTGGCTGCTGCACCAGGCACAGGCATCGAAGCCCGTGGCGGCAGGAAACGCGGTAGGCTGTCGCTTTGAAAGATTGTCACCTGTCATTACTGTTGCGACATCACACCAGAAGCTTGCACAGTGTTATGTCCGAGATACATGTATATCACTCTGAAGTGCTCACGAGTTGCTCTGACAACCTGAGTCCATGCCAGAGACTGGAGTTCAAGGGCTACACTTCCAGCCAACTGCGATAACACGAATGCTGAACATCCCAGCAGTGGAAATGCAGGGCCAACACAGTGCAGGCCAGCAGCTGTGAAGTTCCCAACCTTTGCAGTGCCGAGAAGGGGTTGTGAATCCCAGAATTTACCGCCCGCCGATTCTTGTCGGTGATTCCGACTATTTTGTGTTGGGCTTTGCAACGCCTGGGATTTGCAGCCCTTTTTAATAGCATTCTAGTAGCACGACCAACCACATCAAGTGTAAGAGTTTTGGAATGGTGCACCGTCAAAAAGTCTACCCATCGCTGCAACTTCATCTGCAGCCACCTTCTCTCACTGTTGCACCAGCTTCACTTCGTCCGAGGAGCTTTTGCCGCCAGCCAGGCGCAGCCGGTACAGGGAGACACAACCTCATCTAATGCAAGAAACTCTGTCGCTACCATACGTAAACATGCCCGCCCCGGTGCCGCAGACAGACACGTAATGACAGTCAAACATTCAACATGCAAATATTTATCATGATGTTTTATGCCTCTGGGCTGGCCCTGGTAAAGCATTGCGGATCCAGCCTGGCCTGGGAACCCAGTTGCAGCGCCGGTGCCAGATCAAGCTCGGCCTTCCTCAGGATGCAGAGATGAAACGTGGGGATGCCTACTGGGATGTAGAAGATTGTAACCTGCCGGATTTCTGATGGTCACATCCCAGGGCTACAGGCCTGTAGCAACCTTTGCAGGCCTCAGAACCTGAATGGCACGATCAACGAGGGCTCTTATCGCATCACTCAACCAGGAAGGATGTTCAGCACAATCATGCGACCCTATCTGAAGATCAGAAAGCTCTCATCTGTTCGCCCTGCACCATGATAATCAAGGCTCAGGTCTGCTGGTGGGACTCCAAGAAAGCAGGCCTGGGCTGACTAGCAGCAGACTGGAGTCACTAGCTGCCACGTGGTTGTTTCTACCTTTCCAATGCTGTTCCTTCCAGCCATTCTCTGTGCCCTAATGAAAAGCATCCTCGTAACAGCGCCCTAGGTCAAAACCAGGTAGCGAAGCTGGGATCTTGCAGACGCGGATTTGCGAAGGCCTCAGCTGCATGTGCATGCTGGCGTGTGGCAGGTGTAGACTAGCATTGGCTCCCTGGCCACGCTCATTTGCTGTGCACAGCACAAACGAGGCCGACACCACGGAAAAGTAAATTTCCTTGTCCTCATGGCAGGCAGGCACATACGACATTTTTGGGATTCCGGATATGCGGGCTTTAGTAGCCTGCAACATGTGTGGACTCGTTGAAGACATCAAGTGGCTTGCTGACTACTTAGTCTGCCACTGCCATCACTGCCAACCATTCAGCCAAGGGTTAGGACATGAAGCGTTGGCTTCAGCATATGACCATGCATGAGGCAGGCTGTCCTCCTTGTCCACAAACCACGCTACCCCCGCCACACCCTTGATCTGGTGTGACTCGAACCTGCAGTTACCACATACCAACATAAACCTCATGGGACCCATGTACCTGAACTAGAAGAAAAACGTTGTCGCAGCTCCGGTTCAAGTGTCTTGGGGGAAATTGCCGCTCCTAAAACCTGTTGAGACTGCAAGACTGCAAACCCCTAGCAACAGTTGTCATGCAAACCTCTCTGCAGCCATGCAGCTCAATGACGCTTGGGACTTCAGCCGCCAGCGGCTTGGTCTTGTCCGACTTCCACTCCTCAGACAACAAGCAGCTGAAATAGCCTGAGCATGTGCAAGCTCCAAAAAAAGTAGGACTACGGGTTTTCAGTGGGCCCTGGGGCCTGGGTTATGCTTGCCATTTCTGTGTCAGTTTTGTACCAAACCTACACTTCACTTGGCAGCTCAACAATTTCCGGACCGAGAAGCTCCGGAGCGCAGGTAGTCGCCATCGTAAACGAAGTCTTTGTTGGACTGGTTGCCTGCAGCAGGCACTCAAATGGCCGCAAGAATGCGCATGCAAAGATGTGGATCTAACATGTTTGATCTTGAGGTCTACGTTGAAATTCTATGGCGATGTCAGTTCCTGATGCTCTCCCAGTTCAGCCGTGAGGCTGATCTCTATGAGAAAACGATTCTCCTTGGAGAAAATGTTGTCCTCAGGTTTGGGGCTCTGCTCCGAACTTCTCTGGCGCTGCTTTCTGCTGAACAGCAATGTTGCAACCAGGCATCCATGCCAACGGCTCCTGTACACGGGGATGCCTTTGACGAACCTCAGTAGGTAGGCTGGCGCTCTCTCCTTTCAGCATTGTAGTGCTCGAGCTGCATCCGGCTGCTGCTGAGGCGGAAGCAACGTTTCTGCTAGAAGAGTCTGCTTGAGGGCTCAAACAAACATCTTTTCCAGCACGACGTGGGTTTGTTTTGTGTCTTGTTGTCCAAAGATACTTTCCTTGACATTCTGGTGTACAGTGTACATGCCGTGGCATCTTTTCAGTTACGGATCCTTGCTGCAAAATTGAGCTGAAGGTTGTCTCGCCAAAGGTGGCACTCGCGCCCTACGCTGGAGCCAATGAGAAGAAGATGCATCCATGCACGGGCACTATCAGGCAGTCATATACGAATCACAGAGGACTAGACTATACACGCGGTCACCAGGGCCGACCCTACAGACCAACAGCATCCAGGCAGTACTCCTGATATCCGGTGTACTGGCAATAGTAGAGGAGTCACTGATGCCGAGCAGGCTTGCCTGATCCCCTCTCTCCTTGAGTGCCTTTAATTCTGGGCGCACAGGTGGCGGCGCCTGAGCAGCCAACACTTCGAACAACTTCAGCTCCAAGCTCTGCTTCACAATGGACACCCGTGACTTGCATGACCGAGTAAGCCCCTCACCATGACCTGGCTCCTCCAGGTGAAAGTTGCTTTGTCTTGCTGGTCACCCCTATCAGTGCCTAGGGCCTAGGGTATGTAGTTGCTACCTAGCTCGCATGCTGACTACTATGCTGACCAGCTTACACCTTGGCCATTTCACGTGCACCTCCTGAACGATTAGAACAACGACGTAAGCACAATGTCTGCAACGCATGGCGCAACTTGGTCTGGCATGCAAGTTGTTGACTGCTAGCCACGTCTGTTGGATTTCATGCAAAATTGCAGGTTCCAAGCCGAAATCGCGCAGAAATGCTGCAGGCACAATCCTAATCGTCCAAGCCCTCTTCTACATCCTGACTTGCAGCAATCTGTCATAGCTGCATGCTTTGCAGCCCAGCAAGATCCAGGCAAAGCAAAAAGGTGTTTTCCCTCAAATCTGGAAGCATGTCGATTGATGAACTGACATGCTGTCCTGAAGCTCTCTGCCCCGCGCTGTTCACAGACTGTATGTCTGCAAAAGCATGGACAAGTCACTGCCCCCTGGTGATACGGCGAGCGGAGGCCCAAGATTTCTGGTGCGTAGTAGCTTCTCGACAGACGATAGTTTCAGAAATTTCTCTATGAGTGCTGCCACTTACTCCTGGTCCCGCCGCTGGATCCAGCGATGCGTCTCGGGGTAAAGGGCGGCAAGGCTGACCTGGTACAAGTTGGCACAACAGTCTGCAAACCTCGCGCAGGGGTCTGCCGTATGCTTGCATGACTCCTTTCCTGCTCTTCACCTCGTCCACTTTGGATCCCTTTCGTTTGCACAATCAGCTGACGAAGCATAAACCCCCGTGAACCTCGCGGTGCTCAGCAGAGTATGCTGCCAGGTTGACTGGTGCATCTGCCTGGCATACAGGGCTTTTCTACCACGGCGGCTGCATCGGGTTCCCGTTATGTTCCTGTCCAAGGGCCATCCCAGTCAACACCCTACATCTGTGAAGTTGACAAGTTGCATTTGGCACTTAAAGCCTAGCAAGCCACTGCGACTTGCACAACTACACGAGAGAAGTGTTGAAAACTGGGCCCCTGGCTTCAACTTCTTTCGAAGCAGGCTCGCCTGGGCAAGCTGGGATTCTGAAGCTATGACTTTAAATCACTTTATGTAGCCACGGAGCCCCACGGGCTGCGGCACATCCTGAGCTTCCACTTTGACGAGCAGAAAACTAGCTAATCTTTTCTTGCTTGAGATTCTTTAGCGGCTCAGAACATGACAAGTTCCTAAGCAAAGCAAGCTTCGGGCAGCTTGTTTGCCCACTGGCCGCCGCCCACCGGTGGCGGCAATCTGTGTGCAGGTTGTGGCCGCAAGTGCGGCAGAAGTCCGCTGCCTCAAAGGGAGTCTACCTTTACATAGCCACTTGGCGAATCGTCTCATAGATCCTAGAACGCTTACTTCCAAGCAGGTTCCCAAGCACAAGATTGCGCTGGAAGCCAGATGTGAGACAGTTGGGTCGACCGTCTAGCTCAGCGGCATCGCATGCGTTAGCCAGTTAGATGCGTAGCATGCGAAAGGTGTCGGCAAGCCTATGCACTTTATGCCAGACCTCCTCGGATTCGATCTGCTCGAAGCATATGGGACAATCAGCTGGGAGCGGCTGCCGCACGGCTACCTCCTGCGAGCCCTGCACCTCAGGTAAGCCAGTGAAAGAACGAATACAGGTGCACAGAATCGCAAGACCAAGGGTAGGATATGAAGTTGCATAGACAGTGGCGGAAAACGATGGAAAACGTCTACCGGAAACCTGAAGCACAAGCAATTTCAGCACAGCGAGGTGACATGGATCCCATTCTTGATGGTCGCTGGCAAAAGCAGCAATAATCAAGAGAACGGCACTAGCAACGTTCGGGGCCGCACTGAAAGGGAAAAGTCTCGAACAAGTGAGCACAAGTTCTAGCATTAAAGGAAGCGCTGCCCAGTGAACTTTGCTAACAGCATGTCACGCGCATTGGGTGCACGTTTAAAAACAAACATCAGCAGGCAGCTTGAACGAAAAAGCACAAGTTTGTGAAAATTGGGCACGGTCCTGCCTGGCGATAGCCGCGCATGACTGTGGCATCCGCCTTCACACATAGCCAGCTGTCTCTTGTCTCCCTAGCCACTCTGGCCAAAAAAGAATACGCATGGACGATGCCTGCAGGCGATATGGCGATAAAACCGGCACCTGGTCTGACCTTGCCTCTGTTGCAGAAGCTCCTTTTGACAGCAAGGCCTTCACCCTTTGTAGCCTCGCAAACTATTGAGGCCTCTCGCCACATCTACTCCCGGCGCCTGCACGCCGGCGGCAGCGGCGCGGAACTCCTCAGAGCGGACTTCGAAGCGGGTGGGAACATCAAATTCCACTCTGCTACTATACTACATTTTTCCTATGTTACTATAGTACTGTACTACGATACTACTTCGTTACTGTTATTAATTCTCTTATGGCCATCATGCTTTTTACAGCAGCGGGGCCTCGCTTTGCAGTTTGTCCACTAGCGGCTTCAGCTCGGAAGGTGTCAAACCCGTCTGCCAAACTCGGTGGTCATCCCGTGCAAGCTTAAGAACCTGAGCATATGGGGATTTCTCAGAATTAGGGGTTCCCTTTTGGGTGGTCCCAGTAATAAGGGCTATAATACTTGGGGGTCTACATTAGGACCCATCCATTTTGGGAACTTACTATTTCTTATGGCAAACACAAAGTCGGCTTCGACCGGTATTTCAAATATGCGCAAGCACTCAATATATTCGCGTGCAGGAAAGCAACCCTCAGAGAAACAAAGAGAAGATGCTTGCAAACACCGCCGCCCTTTGCAAAGTCCAGGCCTTAGCACTGCAACTACATGCAATACGTTGCTTTGGTACACTCTGAACTCTAAACTTTACTTGCAATGGGTGCATTTGGTCTGTCATGAAGGAATTGAATGGTCAAGACGTGCTGGACACATTTCCGCAGAACATGACCTTCCACCCCTCTCGCGGCTGACAACTTCAGATCCAGCTGCAAGTGCAGGAGTTCCCTTCTGGCAGCAGCTCAACATGATACACGTTGCCCGTGCTGCCAAGAACATCCTGAGTGTTTGCTGCGAAAATGGAAAGGACATGCTAAGCTGCCACAGGCTTGCGTGACACACATTGCAACGCCTTTGCTCCCGCACTGCCCAAGCTGTCAAGCGGAGCTACTGAGTCAGCTCTGTAATGGAACCCTTTGCGTGAACAATGAAATCTCCGCTCCCAATTGTAAGAGGGAAGAAGCAACCTGCGTGCACAAGGCTACGCCACATTGCATGACTGGAGGCGCCACCGTTGCAGCAAAGCTTCAATCTTTTCGCCTGAGCCTTTCGGAGCTCGCGCGAGGAAGTAGAGTCGGTGGCTAAAAGCTCTATCGATCCGCTCCTGTCTCTCCAAACATCTTTCTTTTGGCGAGAACCATGACTGCAACTGGACAGGGGAAAAGCGGACGCAAGATCTCCGCTTGGGTAGAACACCTCTCTGAACAACGGTTTGCTCACGGATTGGAACTACGCGTAACTGCGGTTGTTCTCATGCGAATGCTTGCAATATGATTTTCATCTTCAAATGTAAGGGCTTGGTCCGGGCTTGCACAACCTATCCCCAAACCCAGGCGTCGCGCATGGCCAAATGCTGAAAGGCCTGCACTCGCGCGCTGGGCTTCGGCACAAACCGGGTGGGCCGCTTCTCTCCAGGCAGCTTCGGGTCCTCAAATGCCGTCACCACACAACCGTGCAAAAACACCTTCAGAGGCATTTGCTTCAGCCGGCTGCCCCCCGCCAATGATGTGATCGGTTAGCGGTCAGCACAGCAATTCTACACAGGCTTGGAAACAATCTTCCATGAGCACATTGCGCTTTCATTGCCATGAATTCGTGCGATGGAGGCTCGGCGTTGGCGCCAGGGTCTGCTTTGCGCCGCTTTGCGGAGGCCGCAGACGGCTGGGTCCGTTTTCTGGGCGCTGCCTTCGGCTTCTCCTGTTGCTGTGTCGATGAAACAGCATTTGCAGCAAACCATTATGTCATTATGAGGCTGCCCAGCTTTCGTAAGCTACATTGCATGCATGTTCTGTCTCTACGTAGCTATGTGTAGCTACTGCAGCACCAACACCTCCGTCCTGCTTCTTGAGTCTTACACCCAAGTGTTTCAGCACAGGCGCCTGGCGTACAAATCTCACGGATTGAGGGCTGAGTTTGCAATCATGCAGAGCCGGAGAGGAAGGAGGAAAGAGGCGATCACGGCAGCTAGTGGCAGCACTTGTAGCAGCGCTCACAACAAAAAGGAAGATCAGTGTTGTACTAGCAGTGGTGGGGTGTAGGTCGGTGAAGGTACGTCACTTTTCACGGCAGCAGCACACACAACAATCATAGTTATGATGGAGGCAGAGGTGTTCTAAAGTACACTGAGAATGTGTGCATCCGGCCTCAGGCTCTTTCTTGCCCTTCCCCTTGCCTTTGCCCTTTGCTTTTGCCGGCTTCTTCGGAAGCAACTTCAAAGGGCCCTGGACGAAAAGCAGAAGTCCCCCGATCGCACAGGGCCGTGGTGCATCTCTCTACAGCAGGCACCCAGTCCTTTTGATTCTGAATTTCCTTTGCCTTCCCTGCAGCCTCAAAAAATCGCAGCAACCTGTCGGCAAGTCAGCTCTTGCATTTGCACACAATCCAAGTGCCAGCAACCATTCAAGCCTCCTTTGCTGCTCGAGATCAACACAGCGCAAGTCATCAGCATCTGGCGCATCAGCTGCTGCCTGTCAACCACTAGACGAGGCAGTTGTTTGTCAGGTCTGCGCAAATGCTGAAATAAGAATATGAGGGAACAGCTTTTTAAATGAGATCTTGCAAAAGGCACATGACAAACAGACAGACATGCACGCAATGTCTTGTGGAGGGACGCCTCATGATTTGCAAGCTTCAGAGCGCCTTCTCAGAAGGCGCGGCTGGACTATTCTCAAATTCATGCTCCTCATCATCTGAAAGATCCACCACAACTTGACCTGCAGAGATAAAGCAGGCATGCCATTGACAGACAATGCCTTTGCGAGGCAAGGCAGGTAAGGCCTGGCGCGGATGTAGAATTGATCAGATCTGCCACGGAGTCCCCGAAGTCTCCTTCGGCCCCTTCGGCCTTGGCCTCTGCAAGGAAGCAATAAAATGAAATACGCAGAAAACAGTGGAAATATGTAGCATACATGCAACATCTGCCCAGCTGCACGGGACGGAGATGACGATGAAGATGAGCCGCCACCGGCTGTGGTGGAATCCTTGCTACCAAAACTCAGCAACTACAACAATCACAGCCAACAATTTATGGTAGCTTTCCTGCAGTCTAGCTAGGCAGCTACACCCTCCAGAGAGCCACGCGGTTTAGGGTTTAGGTTTAGGGCGTGACCATCTGCTCAACTTGTGCTCATCCAATGTTTTTGGCTTGCTTTGACGTATACCAAACAATAATCTTTCTCAAGTCTTTTCGCACCTCAGAGTCGAGATCCAAGGCCTTCTGGTGCCTGGCAAGCTGCTTTGCGAATATTGCATCTGTCAAAGGCAGCTGCAGCTGCAAGCATGAGCCGGCCACACTTTTGTGACCGCTATTCAGTCTGACAGGTCGTATTATCGACGACTAGAACGGCTTGAACTTGAAGCAATGAGGCCTCCGAGCTCTTCGGAATGACCTGCTCTACTCGAATTAAGCTGCCTCGTGCGAGCAATACTTCCTCTTCGTTCGGAACCCCGGCACCACTGCAGAAAACACAAATCACCCGAGCACCAGGTGGCACATGAATCCGCAACAAGATGGCATCCTCCAAGTCTTCAGGAAGCAAGGCATGCCGCCGCGCATAAAAGTTTCCAATCGACTGCAGGAGAGAACAAGACATGTAGGCTTCATCCTTGATAAGGAAAGGCTTGGAATCGGCCATGGCACTTAATCCCTTCAGGTGCTGGACGTATGAAAAACTGGAGAAGCCTCGCCACAGCGTCAAACCAGGACTCGTCACCGCCGGCGCAACCTGTGCAAGACCATCCAACAGCCTGACCTGCTGGCGGCAGAAGTCTGTGTCTTGCTGCCCAAGCAAGCCGCGCCCGTCCCTCAGGAAGCGATTTAGCTTCTTGTAATTAGCTGCAGAAGCATCTGCGTACCAGCGCACGGCCTCAAACTCATCTGCCAAATCCTTTCCACTTTCCTCATAGAAGGTCAGCACAGGCAGAAGGGAGCCTGAATGGCACAGGTTCCTACCCCATTGCGGACCTGCAGCCTTGCAGAACCCTTTTATTCTGATGTATCAGTCCCCGCCGGCCTGGGATGTTTGATGCGTTCGGAGCATGCGAGTGCACGACAGTCCGCGCACGCGCGGAGTAGCACAGGCTGACCAGCCCCAAACGAGGCAGCCAGGCCATGTAAGCAGTGCTGTCGCTCTTCAAGAACGAAGGTCACATTTCAACGTGGCTTGCACAACAGTCTAAGCCTAAGCTTCTGAGCTGGAGGAGATGCACCGAGATGTTGTACGTATGGCTTGCTGGAGGAAATGTTAATCTCAACGCTTTGTAAGCCATGGCCAGCCAACAAGAGTAGCGGGAGCCCTGCATCATGGCTTTCAACCTCACTGGAATAACAAATGGTTGCTGGCTAATAGCAGCCAGCACTCATCAAAATTGATGATGGATGCCATAGACAGTATTGTCATTGATGATGGCAGGAGGATACCAGGTCCCGCGGCGATTCAACGAGTGCTATGACATATGACCCTCCAGTTGAGTTATGCCATCACGAGATGGCCTGCTGCTCATGATGCTAAAGAAATCGGTGGCACTCTCATAGAAGATACAAAGCCGTTGATGATAACAAAAAAGACAAAAAGATCAATGAAAAGGGCGCCGTTGCTGAGCTAGTCATTTGCTGGTTTCTTCTGTTGCCGAAGAGCTTGAAAATCAGGACCATGACAACGATGACACTATTGATCAGGACAGCGACGACCACAACGATGCCCGTCATGATGATGAAAAAGAAACAGGATGATGATAATGATGGTGATGATGCTGATGATGCTGATGATGCTGATGATGCTGATGATGCTGATGATGCTGATGATGATGATGATGCTGATGCTGGTGGCGGCAGCGGCGGCGGCGGCGGTGGCGGTGGCGGTGGCGGTGGCGGTAGTGATGGAGAACACCCACGGACGAGCAACAATGCTTGGCCAATGATGTTGTGCTTACAGGCCTACTGACTACTTGAGGCCCATCTCCCGGAGCAGCTGCGTGCCTACAATCAGAAAGAAGACCAGCACGCCAAACTGCCGGGGCTTCCACCATCCTGCTATGAGAAGATTAATTAACTGTTAGGGAATAGGTATGCCTCTCATTGCCCTCGACTGCGTGTATTACTTTTTGCATCTGGACTTAAGCAGGCTTTGCCTTGCTTAAATTACCAAACAGGATTTCTCCAGGCCTGTCATCTGCAGGCACAGCCTGTCCCCTGCTCGAGAGCGATAACACATCCACGAAGGACTCACCAGCCTTAGCATCAACCAGCATCTTGCAGCTCACTACCAACAGCCTCGGCCAGGAAAGTCAGAAAATGTCAGAAATTTAATGAAATTTATGAGCATTGCAAGCGCCCTTGGGTCCTCAGCTCCTGCCCTGCCATAGCATTTACGGCGGCCTGTTGCCAATTTTAGAATCTGCGCGCAGCGGTACAGGCTCATACGCCCTGATGCGTTTTCTCCACTTTTGGCAGGGGCTCCTGTATGGTCTGTCCTATGCACGGTGGGTGCTTCCCGAATCTGCCAGCCATGTAGTAGGCTCAGCTCACACGCAGCTTGAGTCTTTTGATAGTCTGATATGAGTTGTAGTCTAAACTCCTAGCATCCCCTTAATAACCCCGATAAAACCCCCTGTCTAATCCCCTTTATAACTCCATTTAAGAAGTTCAGGCTGTAGCAAACGGAGTCGTCGGACATCTGCCGCACTTTTGTTTGGTTGGAACGCGCTTTGTTTTTTTGCCTCTTGACCTTGGTAACCAATCATTGGTGAAGGTTCTGCATGCTGCCGCATTGCTTTCTTTAAGCCGAGCTGGACCCTTCCCTTCCCTCGTTCTTGGTAAAGAGAAGCTACCAGCTACCAAGAACTGCAGAACAGGGATCTGAATAGCAGCTCCCGTTACATAAGCAGTCAAGAAACCATCTCTGGCTTACACGTGGAAGATGAGCTTCCTCCGAAGATGTAGTGGTCCATGCGTTCCTTAGCTGGGTCACAACCCCCTTTTTGGCAAGACTGATGTTCCGCGAAGCTTTCAGGGCAAAAAGCTTCACCACAGTCGCCGTAAACACAAAAGCAACAAGAGACGTGTTTTTTACAACTACACCTTGCACCTTGCAGCCAGGTTGCCCGGTCACCCTTGAGGTCTAAGACCTGGAAGGCAGTTGATCCAAGAGTTAAAGAAAATTAACTCCTGAGTTAATTGCCCGGGTCCGGCACCTTGGCAACCCCCAACATCCGGAAAAATTAAATCCTGATGTAATTGTTCTATTGCGTCGTGCAACGCCTTCCCCATGTGCCTCACGTACACAATTAAATCATGATTTAATTGTGCACCCTGGGGAGCCCCTACACTCTAAGACCTGACATTGGAACCAAACACATAGCGGCTCGCAAACAGAAGCCGTGCAGCCTGGCTGAAATTCCGCGCATGCCGCACAAGTTCCTACAACTATGCCCTGTTGGGCTACGGCATCCTGAGGTCAAATACTAAACAACTAGAGTTTGTGAAACAAATGCCCACGCAGTCTATCCCATACCTCACGCTAGCTGAGTCCCCACTGCGGGCCAAGACCTCCAGGAAGGGTGCCATCATCCGCTCCTTGCCCTCGCGAGTCTCCTTAGGTAGGGAGACCTGCCAAAGTAGATAGGAGAGAGCTTCAGGGATGAGCGTTACGGTAAGATGATGTGCTACATGCAGTGTGAGTTGCTACTGCAGACTGGATCTGAATTCTGCTTGCCGCCAGCTCTCGGAGTTCACCGTGGGGATCAAGCGCCCTGGCTTGATGCTGTTGACAAAGGCTTGCAGCTCGGTAAAGGAAGAGTGCTCACCTGATTTTCCAGGCTTCAAGCATGTTTTATGGCAACATCCTGTCACTCTTTCTTTCTTTCACGAGGGCTATGCGAAGGCCCCAGGGGCCCGACCTGTCCAACCTCACCCCTCTGCTTCACAGAAAGCTCAGCTAGGAAACCAGTCACTCTCTTTCTTTCTTTCTTTCGGTCGGGCTATGGAGGCAGGATTACTCCTACCCCCGGGCTCCAATGCCCAGCCCGTGTTGGGCTGTGGGGGCAAGACCCTTTTCTGTAAATTAGAGCCATCTCTCTCACATGCTCAGGAAGTTCTGTCACACGTAATGCTCGTTCTCTGAACGGAACTGTTCCAGGATTCTATCTACTGCCTCTCGGGCTCAATCAATGCCAAGTCACTATACGGCACGCTGTACACTCTCGTGCGCCCGTCGTTCTCAATCCAGGCACGGCAGCCAGCACTCCCCTTTGCCATGGCTTTTGGTGACCATGCCCATCCAGTTGGGCTGAATGCCACCACGGATTCGAACTGCCCCTGCGGCTAGCAGAGCAGGCCATCAACACTTCCTCAACCCACGCCCTGGACCCACAGCCTTGGTCGAGTCCAGATAATGCTTCAAGACATCGTGCGCCAGGCCTCCCAAAGCCTAAGGTGACCAGGCTCCGACAATCCAACACGGCATATCACACTGCAGGCCACTGTGCGTGGCGTGCATCCTCTACCATCTGTCAACTGCCACCAGGGCACAGACATCCAAACACAGCAGCCTTCCTTGTCGATGCTCCACAGCGGTCGGCCGGACTTCAGGCGAGCGTCACCCCAACCTTGAAACTGCTCACTGAGAAAACATCAACCAAAAGAAGCTCAACTCTCTCTTGGAAGTTCCAAGCAGGCGCCTGCAAGCTGGATGACCTTCCAGCGCCGCTGCTCCACGAACACCGAGGATGCAGCAGCTTCAGCCACAGCTTGGGCTGCCCGCTCCTCGTGGCAGCAGACAGCTGCAACTTGCTCCCTAGAGTGCGGGGAGTAACGGGAACCATTCTGACCGTAACGGGAACCAGTTTTCCGGACTCGTAACGGGAACCAGCCGGGACCGTAACAGAAACCGCAGCCAAAACGTAAACGAAACCAGGCCGCCAAGCAGTCGAGAACCGAAATCCCGGAGCCCAAATCTCGCAAAGTGGGGACCGAAAATCGGTCCCTCTCCAGGACATTTTTTTTTGCAACTTGCCTGTACCTCCTTCTACTCTTTTCTGCTTGAGCTACCACTGGTGCTACTTACACACTCCTTTTTACAACTTGCTTGTACCTCATTCTAGTCATTTTTCTGCTCGTACTGGCACTAGTACTAGTTCCACACTCCTTCTTAAATCCTGAACCTAAACCTTCAACCCCTAAACTCTAGACTCCAAGCCAGAGCTTTGGATTTTCACCCTCCAAGGGTCAGGGTTTAGGGATTAGGGTGCTGGATCCAGGCGATTCATTCATTATATGGATAACAGAAGTTGCTATATGCTTTCTGTTGGCTATAAGTACCCTCACTACTACTCCTACGACTCCAAGGTACGTAGGGTGGTAACTAGTACCTAAACCCTAAAATTTCTAAGCCAAAGCTTTAGATCTTCACCCTCCAAGCGTCAGAGATGGTCAGGGTTTGGGGTCTAAGCGTCAGGGTGATTCTTTAGGTTCTGGATCAAGGGGACTTCTTCATTATAGGGGCAACAGCTAACAGAGGTTGCTACATGCTTTTTACTGGCTACAAGTACACTTACTAAGTCCGCTTGACCTTCCAAGTGAGGCAGAATCGCGAGCCGCCAGCCCAAGCAGGGACTACAATACCTTGGTCCCCGTTTTATACGATTACCTTTTCTAAGACCAAAAACTTGGATCCGAAAACCCTAAACCTCGAACCCTAAAGCCTGAAGTTCATGGTTTAAAGTTGGTAGAAAGCCGGAAATGCCCGACAAGATGCATCTAGAATGGGGACCGAAAATCGGTCCCCCTTTGGCAGAGTGTGAAGAACAAAGTTTTAGCCATTCTCAACCCATGTCTCGGTTTTCCGAAGCCCCGGCTGGTTCCCTTTACGAAGGGCCCAGCGGCCCTGTTACGGAAACCGGCCGGTTCCGGTTACGGAATTGGGGCCGGTTCCTGTTACACTCCACTGTTACAGGCAATCGGTTCCTGTTACTTCCAATCCTCGTTGCTCTCTAGGTGCCCTGGTGGCAGCAGGATTTGTTCCACTTCCTTTCGCTTCTTTTCCAACAATCCAACCTTGTCTTTTGTGCCGTCGACCCCTCAAAATCCTGCTCATGACGCACGTCTAGACAGAGACATGACAAGACAAAAAGTCTCACTGACAAAAGATCACCTGTGTTCTTTTCTGCTGCGGGTTTGGGAAGCTTGGCCTGACTTGGCAGGTGCCGGCCTGGCTGAGAAAGAACCAAGAGTCAAATATGTAAGCAACAAGAGCTCCCACATCAACATGAACAATCAAGTCCCACGTTGTCTTAGCTACAAACTATGCAGAGCTACTTACTTGTCCCGCAGCCCTTATGGCCCTGCATGTTGGGGACAGCTTCCTGCCTTCCCAATCTGGTAGCATCCAACCTGAGCTGCTTGCAGCATGTGACGGCTTCGCCAGAAGATGCCACCGCTCAAACAAGCCGAAGTTGTAGATGATTATGCGGCTTAATCAGCGTCCCAGATACCACGAACAGCGTCTTCGGCTCTCGCTGGAGCTCTGCTGCCGTCAGCTCTGCCAGCCAGTTGCAAGCCTCATGCCTGCGATGTACTCTCTGACCAAGCTGAAAACGCGGGCCAACCAGCAAGACTGCAATCATCGTCCAAAAGGCTGGGCTGGGAAGGTCCAGCGACGGGCACAGTACGTGGTGTCCAGGAATAATTCCTGGGACGTGCGAGTGAGTATTGAGTATCAGACAGTGACCAGAGAGCTTCGGACTGCCCTTGATTTGGTCATCAACTTCTCCGTGCAGTCCACTGATCTATTTGAACTTAACTCGGAATAGGAAAAGCCAGCTTCCTCCACAACATGTGCTTCAGACCTCCGAACATCTCTCAATACCTGTTGGGCTGCTATGACACTTGAAGCAGGTGTTGCTATCCTAGTCTCGGCCACTGTTCGACCCGCAAGCCATTCAAGCAACCCGTCTCGTATCTGCGCTGATGCGCGGCAATCCCCTGGCACGGGCATGACACGCAGACCTTCTCCACCAGCAGTTCTGCAATTCTGCAAGCCGCCTGTGTGGAGCACAACGCTGCCCTTGGTGGAACTCTCGGAAGAAGAGTGGTCCTCCTTCAGGGTATGCACTGGGAACGCCCCTTTTTTGCGCAACGAGGCCACCAGCCCTACATTATGTTTTTCCAAGGCCTCGAAAACAGCCATGGCACTTCCAGGGCAGTGTCCGGCATCTAGGAGGGTTAACCAAACGCCCTGGACCTGCACAAATGAACTGAACAGAACTCGAGTCACGTGCCTTACGCCACTGTCAGCACGCAGTTGACATTAGCATCTAAGCTACCGCAGCACGCACACACACGCACACACACGCGCACACACACCCACACACACAGCGGTCACGTGGCAAGGAGAATTTCTGCGGAATGCCGCGGATGCCATCTAAGGAAGCAGCCAAAGTGCCCGCAGCAAAATCCTTTTGAGTTTTGCTGGTACTAGTGAGAACAAACCCTGAGCCGTTAGGATTGCACTGGCGCAAGGTCCCATCGGGGAGGATCTCCAGGATAACGCCAGTCGCGTTTTTTTGAACCTTCCGACCATTTGGGAAAGTTCGAATTTGGCACCCATCTGGATCTGTTTGGAGCCTCTCACCTGAAGCCAAGGCCACAATCTTCACACCATTTGGCTTCACCATTGTGCTAGAGCCATCTGCAAGAGCTGTAATCTTGGTCCCGTCTGGGTCGATTTGCTCAGAAGAGCCGTCCCGGTGGGTAGCAACAGTGCAGCCGTCAGGGAATGTTTGGTGTTTTTCACCATTTGGCCAAATCTGTACAATAGTCCCGTCCGCAAAGTGGCTAGTCTTTTCACCGTTGGGCAATGTTACTATCCGGCTCCCATCTGGGTCGATTTGAGTCATGACACCATCAGCAGCTTTGACAATCGTTGTCCCATCTGCGTTCTTTTGCACAGTGTGGCCGTCTGCATGCTTGGTGATACTTGTCCCGTTTGGCCGCAAGGTTGTTTGAGTTGCGACCACCTTATCCACCAATATAATCGTCCCGTCCGGGTTGATCTGCTTGGATTGGCCACTGGACTGCGTCTCCAAGACTGTGCCGTCAGGATGTTCATCAACCACTAAGCCGCCCTCATAGGTGATCCGATGGCCTCCGCCAGTCAGTTGATCCACTGTCTGTGGAGATGGTGATGTCGGGGAGTCCCGACTGTCTGGGCCCGAATCCAGTCTAGGAGACTCATCTTGAAAAACCCTCAGGCTGCTTTTCTTGACCGGCGATGCTGGAGTTGACATGATCTCGCAGTTCAATGCAGATGCAATGGATGAGAACTCGACGACTGGGGGCATTGCAGCTTGCAGGGGAAGCTTGCTGCTGCCTCTGGCAATCTCGGCGTCTATATCCTGCGCCGACAGTCGTTGATCACTGTGAGGGGTCTTCTTATGGTGTCGCACACCCGAGCCGTCCGCAAACCTCTGCAACGTTATCATCCCGTCTGGCTTCGTTTCCAAGAGAAGTCCGTCCGAAGGCGTGAATTGCACCTTCGTTGCATCTGAATACGTCACAATGAGCGCACCAGATGCGCAACGCTGTACACGGGTAACTCCGCTCACTGCGGACTGCTCCATTCCAAATCTTTCCACGATTGCCCCGTTGGCGAAATGAGTAGTGGTGCGTCCATCTGGGTTGGTGATTGTGCGATCGCCTTGTGGATCTATCTGGACGCAGGTTCCACTTGGGTCTTGCGTGATGCTGGTCCCATCTGGCTTCCGTGTGAAGACTTGGCCATCTGCAGATTCTGTCACGCATGTACCATCAGGCATGATGCTTGTCTGACAAAGGCCATCTGGGTCTGTCATGAGAGTTGTACCATCCACATCCGTCTGGATTTTCAAGCCGTTCTTGTATGCATCAATGGTACACCCATCAGGGAAAGTGACTCGAGTTCGACCATCAATGAACTTTTGTTGCACCCTTCCATCTTTAAGATGCCACGTGTGAACCGCAGAGGTCGCATCACTAAATACATAATTGCAGAACTCCTCAACTGATATCTTGCCGTCCTTGTTAGCATCGGACGCTTTGAAAAGCTTCTCCACTTCCTCGTCCTGCCAAATCCCGCCCGGGGCCAAACACCCAAACCAATGGCATGTGCAAAATGTTACATGCAACAGAGCTGCCAGATATAGATTCAAATGGGGCAGAAAGGGAGTTGCCTAACGCGGGCTACACAACAAAGACCATGTAGAACGCCAAGGCCATGGATCCTTCTTGGCGAGGTCAGGATTCAAAGCCGCAAGCACTGCTTTGAGTTCCTCGCGGTCGATGAACCCACTGTGGTCAGTGTCGAACTTGCAGGGAGCACGCAGCTCAGACTTCGAAATCTAGCGCGAGTATTTTCAACTTCTGCTTGGCCGATTAACATTGCATGCAAAAGTGAGCTGGTGTTCATGTGTATTCAGTTTTCACTGCGCCAGCCTCTCTGAAAGCTGCACGGACTGCATCTTCGGCAGCCGACTTGGGATCTCCAGGGTCCATGGCGCCAAGACATCCACAAATGTGTTTGGCACTTTGGGATCATGTGCCGTCGCGTGTTGATGACATGATGCCGGCATGTCAAAACATGTCAGAACCATTGCACACATTAATGCCTGTCATCAAATATGGCATGAACTCTGGACTGTCACTGTCCACCTGCGTCGGCTGTATTTCAACAACACAAAGCCAACTGCCTATCAGAATCACAAGTTCAAACTGTAAAAACATATTCTCACTAACTCGGGAGCAAGTTGGAAACGGGTGTAAGTTACTTCAACGTCTAGAATATAAACGAAACATTGGCGGTAAGGCACTGTTTGGTTGCCCTTGTGCCGGGAAGTCGGTGGAGGGAGGATGACAACTGCTATCTCCGGGTTTACGCAACAAATGCCAGTGCTAGCATGAATCGCTTCAAACAAACCATGCTTGCACGTGCCTGCAATGGCTGTTGCAAAGGCAACGAAACCACACGTGTCGCGTCCACACCCATCACTTCGGTAATCAAAGCAGCCGTGACGTCCTCAAATCATAACAGCAAATATCCAAAAACACAACTCACCCCACTTTGACAAACGTGACGTGCCCTGCAAACCAGGCACTGTGCAGTAAATGGTCCCACATTCGAAGTTGCGCGTCAGACCCACGGTGTGGTCGCTGTGAAAATGGGTCAGCACATAATGTCGCACATCATTTCCTCAAATGCACACGACATGGCTGACATGTTGCACAACATGAAGCATGCACAACTCTGGCTCAGCTCCGGGCGTTGAAACAAGAAACCGTCCACCAAAAACTCCTGCCAAGAACATGTGTTTGCGCATGACTTGGTTTTCTGCCTTGCGAGAAACCCTGGTCCGTTGAACCGAAGCGCACCAGCTTGGTTTCTTCGGTTTTCGCCGCCATGGCCCGCCATGTGTTGACTTGTATGGCAAACCAATCCGGTAATTGCATCACTCCCGCTTGTTACTGTCCAAAAATTCATGCGTACGCAGTCCTCATTCAACCCAAGTACAATCAAAGCCTCAAATAAATGGGGTATGGTATGCATTCTGGAGATCGCGATGTTGCGCGTTTGTGTTGGTTTACATCTGAGTTTTGTGGCAATGACTTCTCGAAGCTATCGGCGAGCAGCACAAGCAACCATCATTTGACGTGAACCATGCGGGTCAATAATGTAGCGTGTGGCGAGAATGGCCGCGGTCCCATGCCCATACAATGGATGGTGGGTCGCAATTTTCGATTTATGAAGCTTTGATGAACCGCATGAGGGGAGGTCATGACAATTGGACATGTGAGCGGTTCCGCGACGGGCTGCATGTGCAACTTGATTTTCTGACCTGCAGTTTGCAGTGCCATTCCATGCCATTCCCATCGGCATCGATCACAGGTGCGTACATTGCGGATTCAGCATTGCAGTAGTTCAACGAGTAGTGCGCCATCCAGTACGAACAAATTTCAAACCTTGGTCTCCTCGCGTTGATGAATTTAGCTGCGGGCGACAACACAGACACGACGCTTCGTCCTCTGGAGTCTGCATTGGTTCATGCTCGCATGAAAAGTGGCAAATGCCATCGACAGAATTGCAGGGCATACGCTTTCCAATGTTTTGCAAGAAATGAGACGCACACGCACGTCGACTCGACGCAGAATTTTGGATGAACGACGACAAATGAGTTTTCAAATTAAGGCACTCCACAAACGGTAGCTTAGCTCATGGAAGTCACAGTGATGCGGGCAATTTCTGAGCCAAACCAAAGGTTGGCAGGGGCTTCGCAACATGCAGTTCAATTCCCGCTGTGCAACATCGCCTAAATGTCGCAAATTGAAGGGGGGTAGGGGGTAGGTAGCTGGGCGAATTAGGACCAGAGTTGGACTTCCCGTG